ATTTTTAATATGTGACATCAAATTTGTTATGCATTCACATTTCACATCAAATTTTAAATATGTCAAAGAAATAAAAGTTTCTCTTTTTTTGGAGGTTCATACCAGAAGTGTGTAGAGTTAAATACCTAAAAATTGTACTTAAAAACTTTATTTTTAGTTGTATAGTGGTTTTAAATTTAAATTTATAATATCAACGAATAATTGTATAATATCTACTTCATCATGATTAAATTTAATAAGAAAATAATCAATAATGGCAATTATTTTAAATAAGGAAGAAGAGAACCAACCACACATAAAAACATGGGCACGAGAAATATTAATGAAAAGAAAGCAATTTGGGGAGTATCATATATTGTTCAATAATTTAGAAGACTTTATTCAGAATTATAGAATTTATTCTGATTGATTCTCATACCAATTAATGGTTAAAATTAACAAAAAGTTTATTTATGGTAGTTATAACAATTAGTTTTATTTAGAAGTATATAATAAAGATTAATTAAACGGATCTATGTAAGCGTGAAATATATTTTAAAAAATACGTGCTGTAAGGTAAGACCAGGCTCATTAGGCCTTCGTGTTTTCGCCACTGGAAGTCAGCCAACATAATGTGTAACATGCAGGAAAAATCAACTTCTTTTTTTTAGGAAATTTCACGAATATCGCGAGATTATTATCAATTATGTACCTACATGCCGCACTCTGTGGCGGAGAGAAATTATTATTAATAAACGTGTATATTCGCAGTGCGAGAGATTCAGCAGTTTACTTACGAGAAAATATAAACATTACGTGATACACGTCGCACAATTAGTGTTTTCAAAACACTATTTCGTTTATTGCTAAACCTTGTGATAAAGCAACTGTCATCTTCCTTAAAATTAGAAATTTTTTTTTAAAAATCAAATTATGTACAACACTAATAAATGTTTTTAGTTAGTGATTTAGAAGTATCTGCAGATTGTATCAGAGTAGCACATGACTGAAGTAATATGTAGTCTTCAATGCTATCAACAATAATACATGTACCTAGCAAGTATTGGTTTTGTAAAGATATATCCAAGCTTCTGCATAAATGAGTTAAAAAGTTAAAGTTAAGTTAATTTTAACTTTTTAACTTAACTTATTTTGATTGATATAAGTTTCATAAATAAGGAGTTACTTTTAATCAAATTCAAGTTAAAATAATTTATACATATATATATATATATATATAATAAATATAATACAAATATTATTAATGATGAATATTACATAACCATTTACCATTTACTACAATAGCAAATTAGAAATATAGTTAAATTTAACCAGAATTCTTCAAGTCAGTTAATTAATAAGTGAAAATGTTCAATGGCTGAAAAAAACATTTAGATGACTCTTTTGCTAAAATTTAATAAATATTTTATTGAAGTGTAAAATTGGCTCCGTAATCTTATATTTACAGACTTTTAGTTCCCTGAAAAAGTATTCAGAGTTTGAAATACATTTAAATACATTTTTAAAAACCATGTTATTTTTATTAAATAATTTAAAAAATATTTATAATACCTACCTAACTGTAATGATAAATCCAATGATTATATTTATTTCGGCATTTTATAAACTTTTAATATCTACTACGTAATTCTATGTATAAAAAAGCTATTATTTATTTCCTGTGTTCATTAATATTTATGATTTTTATTATTTTAAATTATATTACTGGGTATTTATATAAATATTAAAAAAAACAAATAATAATAACATAAGTTAATAAGTTAATTTAAAATGTTCATATAGATTTTAACTTAACCGAGTTAAAAAAAAAATTAGGTTAACTATTAACTTTAAACTTTTTAAAATGTTTTCCATCAATTTAACTCACTTAAAAATTATCATTAACTTGTCCAGACTTGGATATAAACTTTCCATTAATGACTGGCTATTCTTTAAATGTACCACTAAAACCAGGAAATATGTTCGTTAACGTTTTAAGATTATACTGACTTCTCTATTGTCACGGTTAAATTTTTATCAGCATGGTCGTCCGATTTAATATTTTCGATATATTCATTAATCGGTCGTCTATGTTTGATTGGGACACAAGGAAGCGCGTAAGTCTCGTATAGAAATATAATATACATTTGTATGCGTGAATTGTTTCATGTTAAGGACAGTGACGAAATCACGTACTGTGGAGAATTATATGACTGCTAACGTATAAATATAATTATGTTAACACGTGATTTGCTCTGTGGAAGTCTTTTTGACTAGTGAAATAGTTTTATTCGTGTTTTTGAGTGGCATAAACGATGATTCTTTAAAGGTCTTAATGAAGTAGAAGACAAACTATGTGTTAGCTCTTCATGCTTGTCAAAAACTGACGATAAAATTTCAAAAATCAATAATTTAGATGACTGAGCATTAGAATGTTAGCTGAAATGGTTAATATTTATAAGGAGGTTGTTAGACAAGTTTTGCATGATCAACTGAACATGACAAAAGTCTGCGCTAAAATGGTCCCTAGAAACCACTTTCAAGAGTTGAATTCAGAGAATTCATTGAAGTTAAAACACCACGAATATGCAAACGACCAAAAAATCGATCAAACAACATTACTTCAAGTCTTGAAGAATATCTTAAAAATCGGTATACTAAACGGTTTTGGATAATTTCATTACATCTATACAATCTATGTTTTTTTGATAACCAAAATTCGATGTTATTTAAAATTTAACAACTGATACTTTATTATTTACAATCTGAAGAACATATTATAGAAGATGCCATTTTTAATGAAGCAGATTTGCCTGGATCCATAGACGAATTAAAAGGTAAAAACAATTTTTATGATTAATCACTATTAACTTTTTGAAATATTTTATAAACGCTTTATTAAAATTTACGGGTGAAATTGTATTCTAGCAGCACATTGGATCGAACAAACAGTAAAAATGGCAAAAGCAAATACAGTCATAAACGTATTCAAAGAAATTGAAGATGAGTATTTTCCAAATATTTGTCAACTTTTACTAATTTTGGCAATATTACCAGTAACAGCATCGACAAATGAGCGGTCTTTCCCAACGCTAAAACGCATAAAAACATATTTGAGAACAACAATGGATAAAACCGTTTAAACGGGTTAGATTTGTTTAATATCCATAAACAAATTGATGTAAAGCCTGAAGGAGTATTAGATATGTTTTCAAAATCTCACCCTAGAAAATTACAATTATCTTTGTCGTTATAAATTTCTTACAATATTATTATAATTTAAATATAATCTTTAACAAATAAAAAAAAAAAATACACATTTAAGATCCGCATTTTGGACTATGATCCTCCTCCCAAAATTAAATCTTGGATTTGCCACTGACTATAAGTATTGCAAGTAATGGTATAATATAAATACTAGCTATATATAATGGTAGAAAGTGTGGGTTTATAATGTAGCACCTCCAAGATTTGAACTTTACACCACTGATTTAAAGATGTGTATTTAAAAGGAAGCTAAGAGAAAAATCGATGAGTGATTATATAATTAAAAAATAATATTATTTATTAAGGAAAGAGGTTTACACCGCCACCATTGTGTACTCGTATATATATTACATATTCTATACATTAACCCTCGTTTAAGATCGTTTTTGTCTAATTTTATTTTCGAAAAAGTCAAAAATTCGAGTACATATTATAACTTTTAATTGTTATTTGCTCTTTGTATACATATATTTGTAGATTATTTGTTCATATATTTAAATTAATTTAATTGTTTAAGAATTTATACGCTTTAAATACGATAAAAATACTTTTGTATTATGTATAATGTAATATAATGGTCTCAGAGAGCAACGTAAGATGAAAATTTCACATTATGGCCATGTATATAATTACAAGTACAATAGAATTAAGTTCTTTCATTTTTGTCAGTCGCTAAGGTTGTTTTGATGAAAAAATTAAAAGGCTTTATAGGTACCTTAAATCAATAACGATAAACATCACAAAAATCTTATAATTTACTACATAAATAGTTGAAAGCTGTCATCAGTCCTGCAATTGTAAATATAAATTTTAAATTTATTCGTAGACCTTGATTATTTTACTCCAACCCATCATATCATCTCTCACTAAAGTATAGTTGTCAAACCCTCTGTTACCTCAAAATGTTTTTAGTGGATCGACGAAGTCATCTAATCTGAACGGGACACATTTTTCGGTCTCTAAGTGTTATGTACGTTTTATCGATAAAATGTGGTCGAACAAAGGGAAAAAAATCCCACTACATTATCGAACATAAATCTATATCTGTACGATATAGTAGAAGTACTGAAGGTATTTGACGATCCGATATTTTCTGGAATCGAGATTCTAGGTTTTCAAACCAATTATGTAAAACAATATTTTGTGCACTACGCCGTACGCTCATCACTGTAACCTGCATAGTTTCCGCGGAGTGATAACGCGTGATAATTATTAATTATTACGTGATCGGGAATCACCGGAATTCTAATAATTTATTTTTATTTTTTATTTCTCGTCAAAACGCGAAAAGTCAATAAGAGATACACGGTGGACGGCAAGCAAAGGCCCGACGGAAAAGAGTGAGAGAGAAAATGAAAAGGAGAGAGGGATTAGTTGAAATATTATTGTTCCACGAAGTGTTATACCACGTACGGACGATCGCGATGACCGTAACGACGCGCGCGCGCGGGCCGGACAACCGGTCGTCCGGTATTTTCACTTTCACGCTAACGGCTAAGGTGAAAGGTGCTCGTCCGTCGCGCGAGTCTACCGCCGCCGCCGCCACCACCACCACCACCACCACCACAACCACCACCTCGACCGCAGTTACCACTGCGATTTTATTATTATTATTACCGGTATTGACGTTACGAGCGTTATTATTTTTTTATATTGTTTACGAGCGCGCGTAGTCTCGTGGGGGTGGGGTGGGGGACGGGCGGGAGGGGAGCAGCACGTGATCCGGCGACGTCGTCGACTTTGGTGGCGAGCCGCGCGATGGTTCGCAGAAGTGTACGGGTGCCCGGGACATAACCGTCGAGAAAATGGCCAAAACAATCGTATCAGCGGCGGCGGCGGCCTTAGCGTTAGTGGCGTGTTGTTTCGCGTCGGCGGTCGGCCAAGAACCGGACACGTTGTTCGCGGACGACCCGATGATGGCCGACGAGCTGACGGCCCGGCCGCCGGACATGATGATGACGGCGTCCGCGTACTTGACGGCCGCCGCGGCGTCGTCGGGCCGCGACGCGCCCGGAAAACCGTCGGCCACCAACATCCAGAAGGTGACGCGCACGCCCAAGGCGGTGGGCGCCGCGTCCGCCCCGATGATGACGGTGGCCGCGGCGACGGCCGACAACCAAACCGCGGCCGCCGCGTCCGCCACGTCCGACCTGGAGTGGCTGCTGAACGTGTACAACCCGCACCGGTGGAACCCCGTCAAGCTGCCAGCCGCGTCCAAGCTGTCGGTCCAGTGCCGTGACGTCATGAAGGTCTATTTGGAATCGTTGCGCCAAGGATCGTTTTGGGCGGCCAAAAGTGAGTGTTACCCGCGCCAACCGCTTTCTTTTTTTCCTCGGCCGTTCTACGTTAGTAATCATATACTTACCGGATCCTCCACGGCACTTTCGGGGTATTTCCGTTTTTCAACGGCACTTGGTTTATTCATTTCGAATTCGTCTGCATTCGAGTTTCATTCGATTGGATGAAATTCGCGAAAATGTTTTTAGGTTTCAGCCCTTTTTTCCGACTGCATTTTTCCTACGCGTGTCTGTACTGCTCGTGCACGATTAATGTACATCGTACACGTCGTGCACACTGGTCCGTCTCGAAGGGGGATCTTGAGGGAGATGTCTCACCCCCCAACAAAAACACCAGTCGGCAGTCGGACTTATTTCATTATATCCTAGATTCTAGAAGGACCTAATTTTACTTACGGAAAACAAATATTACATATTTCGTAATACAATGTATACACGAATAAAATTTATATAACTATTTATTATACAATATGAAATATTATATATTTATACATATAATTAAACTGTCAATTTTAATAACGTGCGACACTGACACATATATAGATGTTAAAAAGTAAAAATACGACTACATATAGTTGATTATACTACATACATTGAGTAAAAAAATTGTAGTAAGCATTTTTCATATTATTCACTCCCCTTGATTTTCATCTTCAGGACGGCTCTGCGTGCACATCAAAGAACTTCACTCCCTTTCCTTTGCCCATGATCACTAGATTAACATAAAAACCGATTGATCACAAGGGTATATTTAGACTTACTTCTAGAGGCTTGGGGGGGGGGGGGTGACTCAAATGTTTTTTTTTAGTTCAGGCTCAAAATGTACAATTAAAATGTTTGGTAATATTTAAATCAGGTGAATCTTTAATAATTGTGATTTTTTTTTTTTAATCTAATGCTGGATCCACTTAGAATCGACTTTTGTGTAGTTCTTTTTTAACACCTGTCTGTGTTTTTAAAATTACGCTTGTCTTTTATTTGTTTTTTTTCCTAAGTATGGATGCGACAAAAGCTCAATCCAATGTGTACACAGCTACGCATAATTTGATTTCGTTATAAAATGATCCACATTAAAAAAACTTGAAATGTGTATCTCACATATAATCAATTCCTCAAAGACGGATTTAGGGGGGGAAATCGCCCCTTCCCCCCCTAAAATACGCCCATGGTTGATCATCTCTGCGTTATATGTTAATTATAACATATTATAACATAAAAATCCGATGGCCCCTCCGAGACGTTACATTCAATACTCGTATCGGATGAATTTTCATTTCCAGCGTCCGTGTTCAATCGAGATTTCACCGTTTCGCGTATAATACATAGGTAAAACGTTCGATCCTGTACACGTAAATAGTCGCAGATTATATTCGTTTCGGTTGTACGGTTGCTACAGTTAAATTCATACGTCAACGCAAGTGTTCCCGCCAAAATACATATAAATATAATACACTTGACGTGTGTTACGCTGCACCACGTACGTGGTTATTATTTAATTTTTTTTTCTACGAGCGACTCTCTCCCCGTTTTCTTCCGTCATGTTGTAGAGCACACGCGCACTATTAATTCGTAGCGAGTACCACACATACAATCCTAACAGTTTTTCTTAGCACATTCCACGGTGTTTATAAAAAAGGTCCAACCCATAAACCGCAAACCAGTTTTTTCTCCGGATTTAAATGTCACGTGAAAACAACGTTGTTTACCCACATTCACGTATACTGCGATCGTTGTCCACGTTATAGTGGTTTTAGGTATTGTAAAATGAAATCGATCAAATTTGTCCCCCCCTGATAAAATTGCCGATTTAGAAATTACGTGGTAAAAATGAATGATTCATTACGAGAAAGTTCGGACAATCATTGTTCGAAACCGTATCCATTTATATTGGTATAATTGTACATTAACATAATATCTCAAGGATCTGCTGTTGGACAAGTACTGATATACGATGATATAAAGTTGTGCAACGTGCTGTGACGACCTGCCCAATATCACATGTGTACTAAATATAGCGCGTTCATATTATGTACACGCGCCCTTAATATGTGCTATAAAAAATATTATTTTTCGATTAACCGTTAATAACCGATGCATATCTTGTAATCAAAACATCGTTATTCGACCATAAATTATTAGAATTCGACAATTATTATATACTAAAAACTAAATGAAATGTTGTAGAGAACTTTCGTTTTAAACAATTATTATTGTAGTTAAAATTATTTTCACTCGTAATGGACTCGCAAGTAATTCTACTGCAAGTATAAAAATAATATTCATAAATTTTAGTGTCCATAACTAGTTCATCTTTATTTAACGACTTTCCGTTATCCATACACGTAGTATTATAAATAATAACATTTTTAATGTTGAAAATAATTGCTATTTCGCTTAAAAATTCATAATCCTAAACTGAAATCAAATAATTTTATAAACGTTTGTTTGTAGATCTTCGGACATTTGAATATTACATCCCGAAAATGTAGATGTTTGTATTGGTACTCAAAAGAAAGTAAAATTATGTGACATATATATACCTGTATATACATTTATGAATGCGAAACCAGTTGGACCACCTTGAACGAGAAACTATCTGTACACAACGGTACTTTCCATTTAATCTTACATTAGTAGTAAATCGAAACAAATACAAATATCAATTATCCAAACTTCCTATCTACGAAAACGTAATTTTACGCGATTCAGTCTTGTTTTATTAATAATAATTAAAAGAATTGCTGTGCAATTGATTCGTAATCATAACGATGATTTCGGTTCGGGAAATGTTTCGCTTCGGGGGTTAATCGATAGCGACGGACGTGACGTAAACAAAATAATATTCTGTTTTGTCATAACAAATTTTGAATTTCTGAAGAAGAAAATCGATTTTAACGTTCCGAGACAGTTGGTATTGCAGCGTAACATTATATATTGCATTGTATAATCATGGTAGCCAGAGAATTCACCTGGGGATAATTGCTGATTGCAGTGGTAACAAAAATACAACATTATATTGCAAGAAAATTATACTAAATTTGATAATAATTTATTGAAATGTGTTTAACAGTGTTACACGATAGAACAAGAAACAAAATTATTATTGCGTCGAGGTTGTTTAGTATTATAAATTCGTCAAACTAAAATTTTGATTTTTCATTCTTATATCAGCTAGGTAATTTTGTAAATTTTCCTTGAAGTACGAGAATTAGGAATAATTCTAGAAAGGAACCGAAAATGCGCGATCAACCGTACTAAATGTCTATTACTAAATAACATTTTAAATGTATTATTTGAACAAGTTAGGTATTTCGATGACACCCTTGCCTTATGTTGTTATTTAAATTCCACTGATCACAATCAGTATTTTTTGTTCATCTTAACAAATTCATATATAAGTCTCGTTCTGAATTTAGAAAAACCGCAAGACGTATTTTATTTTGAATCACTATGAGCATGTTATAAAATATTAATGTCCGTATTTATTTCGTAGGCAAATAGCAATAAAACGTGCATATTCGTATTTATGTAATTCGCACATTAGATTTTTAGAAATATTCGTATTGTACTATTAAAAGTTAAAGCCCTTACTAGCGAACCATGTTCGAAATCATTTATTTAATTACAAATAAATAAATGGCTAACAAAAAAAAAAAAAAAAATCGTAATGAGGAAAATAATTTAATTAAAATATTAAAAGCATGATTGTATAAATATTTTGAGCCTAGAGGTTGTAGTTTAAGAAATCATCTCGATATTAAATATATTTAGTATCGTAAACGACTATGAAAAGTTATGTTGGAGCCGAATATTAAACATTTTCGACGTAAACCATTTATTGATATACCCTGTACGCACTATTTTTTCATACAAACTTAAATATATTATTAATTATATATACTTCACCAATCATATTATTATTTTAGTTTATATGATCTTGTTTCTAACGTACTCGTTAATGTTTACAATCTTCCAAAGCGGTATTTTTTTACGTCTAACGGCAATTATCAAACATATATTTATAAAATAGCTCAATATTTGGAATATAATGAATCGAGAATAGAGTAAAATATCATATTTAATCACATGGTCTATAATTATATACTAAATGGACGACGATACCAATTATACGTATCGACTTCTATCTGAAAATGATTTTAGTGATTTATTCACGTTTTGTCAAAACATTTCGGAATTGCATAGATAATTCCATATCTATATGTACCACAGACGATATGTATAGACACGGTTAATCTCACATCCTTGAAATGTCGTCGGGAATTTTTTACGCTCGTCAATTGGTCATAACTAATGTTTAATTATTTTAACTTGACGTTGCTAAATCAGATTGTGACACACTGCAGATTAAATGTGTTGTATTATTATAATCATAATTATAATAATTCCAATCGAATATCCAAAACCTTGTGTATATTGAAACCATAGAGTATAACGAAATACCATAATATACATATATACAAATTCAACAAAGATAGTAATCTGCAATAATTTATAAATATAAATAACATATATTTTTATTTCTGATATATGTACATTTCTAATCCGCAGTCTAGTGGTTGTTTAAACGTTTGCCATGTGAATGGAAAGTATAAATCATAACCAGCGTTCATCACTTTCACAGGGGCTTGATGCAATCGTCAATTATCCGTTACACGTCCGAAAACCCGACGTTCAGAGGCAACTGCAGTAAAATAATATAATATTACTGCTTTCTAGTATTTTTAGCATGGATAATTCAATAAAATCTGTCCGTAAAATAATACTGTTTATGTATATATTATATATAATATTATTATCACGCAAGGAATTAATTGTAATCCGAAAATTATTACGATATCGAAATAATTATAAACAGTTGTCCGACCGTGATGATGTACCCCGACTGGTGCAATGCGAATGATAACTACTGGTGCTCATGATATTATATAATTATTATTTTATAATACTCATGGCCTTATACATAGATTAACATGATTA